TGGGCTTTGCTTCCTGCTCTCTCCAACCTCCCTGACTGACCAACTGAACTGACCGTAGAAGCCCTCCTTCTGGTATGGGAGAAACTGGAAGGGGGCCCTGGGTGTGGGGAGTGTGGGGGGAGAAGGCCTGTGATCACTTGAAGCTACAGAGGCCCTGAGGCCTTCTCCAACCTGTCTCCTCTGAAGAAGTGAGGGCTCACTGTGCTGCTGCCTCATTAATTCATTCATTCATTTATTCACTCATTCATTCGTTCACTCTATAAACAGTTATTGAGTACTGCCACATGCCAGGCACCAGACACAGAAATAAAGCTGCAGGCCCTGCCGTTTAGCAGCTGATGTCACTGTTCACCATGCAGTAAAGCGACCCCTTAGCTAATAAACTAGATTTAACCGCTGTCCACTTTAGTCGATAACTAGAAACTTCTCAAGCTGTCCAGCCTCTCTGGGCCCTCCCTTGAGCTCTGCCAAGGTGCCCCCTACCCCCATCCAATCTTCTCCTACATCCACAGCATGTTCCAGGCTCAGTTTCTGAAGGTGAGTCTCTCTGCCTCAAATGCTGGCAGGGTCTGGGCCAGGCAGGCCAGCCCAGAAGCCCCTGCCTCCTCCCCCAGCTCCCCTCTGCTATCGACCACAGCCCATGGTACAGGCCCAGAGAGCAGGAGGCCACTGCCTTGTGCAACCTGGGATCTGGAGAGAGGCCGCCACAGAGTGGCAGGTCACCCATCAACATTATTTGTCAAGTACTCTGTGTGCCTGGTACATCCGTGGGTTCAGTCTGTGTTGAGACAAACAGTTCTGGCCCTCGAACCTATCAAAGGGTCACCGTTGGCCCCTGGTGCCCACAGGGCTCTGCTGAGGTAGGGGCTGTGGGGCTGTTGGAGGCTGACAAGCATCTGCACCTGGAGCTGGGCCAGAGCCTCCCTCCTCTCCATGCCCCTCCCACCACCCAAACGCCTGGTCCCTCTTTGGCCCTGGGCCTCAAGACCCCAGAGATTCCATCTACTGAGGTTCTGACTGGGCTGAAGTAGGAATGTGCTCCGTGCTCAAGGCAGCTTTTCAAACTGCACCCAGAGCTGCTTCTGAGACAAGAAAGAACAGCTAGTGGACCTGGGCTAAGGGCGGAGAGTGGCTATAGCCTGGAGTCTCTGCTTGTCAGGTGGGGCAGCCCGGATCCTGGGGGTAGCTAGGCCTACCAAGAGGACTGGCTGGGGTGGCCTGCCCCCCAGGTGAGGCCTCTGTGCTCTGGCTGGGCAGCTGCAGCAGAGACACTGGTCATTCAACACTGGGGACACCAGCGTGGCTCAGGGGTGGAGGCAGCCCTTTAGGTGGTCCTTGTTTCTAAGATCAGGTGGTAACTCTGCACCTGAGGTGTGTACAAGGTGTTGGCGTGTTGTTCATTACCAGGGCTGGGGGTGCTGCATTTGAGTTGATCTTGAAGGATGCGTTGGAGTCACTGAACAACAGAGGAGAAGAAAAGAAAGAGAAGAGTATTCCCCACAAAGGAACCAGCCCAGGCAAAGCCTCACATGGCATCTCCCATGAACTGCAGGCAGTCTTGAAGCCGGGAAGACTGGTAGGGCAGGTGGGAGAGGCAGGAAAGGGTGGGCAGGGGCCACAAAGGGCTCTGTGCTCCCTGCCAAGGGCTGGGAATTTCTCCTTTGGCAATGGGAAGTCACTGAAGAATTTTTAATGAGGGGATGAGACAGCCAAACATGCTGTCTGGGAAAATGGCTAGTAGGAGTCTGGAGGTGGATTTTAGGGAAAAATTGGAGGGAGAGAGACCGGGTTGGAAGAGGTTGCCATAGACGGCATTGGGAGGGATGAGGGTGTATGCAGCAGCCACAGCAGGAGAGAAGGGACAGGGTCTAGAGATATTTTGGAGGTAACAGGAGCTGATCTTGGTGGCCAGTTGCATGTGGAGTTCAGGGAGAGGAGACAGTAGGAGAGGCAGAAATCTACTGACTTCAAGCTTCAGACTTGGATACTAGAAGTCAGAGAGGAAGCACAGGCGGGGGCATTCAATCATGTTATTCTGACCCCCACTCTACCTCCACTTTCTGAATCCTGGAGAAGCTGTGAGAGGAGATGTCTTGAGCACCTTTTTCCACAGCTGGAATCATTGGCCCTCTAGATTCTTGATTGCGTCCTTGCACTTGGAGCTATCTGGGGGGTGGTCCCTATCGGCTTTGAGGAGGTTGCCTCTTTGTGAGGCTCCCCCCCCCCCAAACCTCCCGTTCTTCTGTGCTACCTCCACTGTGGCCACTAGATGGCGCCAGACACCACCAGTCTGAGAAGAAATGTTTCCCACAGAACTACGGGAGGTTAAAGGCTGTCGCTGAAGTGGGTTCTTATCTTGAAGAAGTGTCAATTTAATCTAATTCTAATTTAATTCTTCCAGAATACATTCTTATTATGGATATACATTCTTATAAATATTATTTTTATAAATATATTTATGAAGACTATATTCTTGAATATAAATATACTCACAAATTATTTTTCTTAGGCTCCTCAGCCTACCCCACTCCCCCTTCAGTCTTCAGCAACAGCAGCAGGGAACTGGGGCAGAGACCAATCAGACGTTCTTCAAAATTCTAATATAAAAAATGAAAAACTCAGTCCAATTAGATTAAATTGGTCGTTCAGCCAATTGACAAGTTTGCAGGTTGGCCGCTCCCAGGTTGGGGTGGCGGAGGGGCAGCAGCGGCCGAGTGGCCATGTCCCAGCGCAGAGGGGCGTTCTTGTACCTGCCGCCCACCGCCTCCTCTCAGCCAGGTTGGCTCAGCTTTCAGGGAGGGGCATGATTTGGAATCCTGGAAATTTATATCCAGATAACTGAGCACAAAACTAGGGGTAAAGTGACTCAGGGGCTGCAGGAAGGGCACCAGTCAACAGGGCTGGTGAAAATGTCTGTAAAAGGGGATGAACTGAAAGAAGAAAGATCGCAGCCTGGGGGCCAAGTGCTGTCCTGAGTGGATCTGGAAGTAATGACTGTTCTGAGTGTCCCCTGAGCAGGACTCTGGGAGGATCAAGGACAAACACGGAATAAGCCCTCCGGGAGAGCAGAAGTCTCCGAGGCCTCATAAACCACAGTCCTCTGGAGGCTTCCGAATGAAAAATAGAGTGCCATATAACATACTTTCATCTTATGCTTTTTATTTTCTAGACTAGGAATTGAGCTGGAGAAGAGGCAACAGTGCCAGTAGCCTGGCACTTCGAGGAGGCTCCCAGCCCCTGGGTTCAGACGCAGGCTCAGAGCCTGGCCGGCTCTATCACCAAGCTGGACTCCATCAGCTGGTCACATGGTACCTCATGGGTCAAGCATTTTATACAAAGCAAATGGGACCAAATTTCAGAAATAGGAGTTACAACCAGATTTGCTAAGCAGTCTCACCAATGGAGTCTGCCCATTCCCACCACAAGCTCAGCAAACCCTTTTCCTGCCTCCAACCCACCTGAGCATGGCCCTCCCTACCCAGCCCACTGAGCTGCCTTCCCTTCATTCAGAGACCCTGAAATCCCTCTTTCTCCCTAAGATTGCCCTGGCTGGTAGAAGGAACACCAGCCATGTCCTTCCCCTACCTGGACATAACCTGGGTGGACCTTGCCCCCCTCCCTGAGGCCCTACACAGGCATTTCGGCCACTCTGTCTCATTTCATGCTTTTATTCTGAGGCCGCAGGCCAGTGTGCACACCTTCCCACAGCACTGCGCTGGCTGAGACAACCTGGGTAAGTCTGGGGTAAGGTCCGATGTGCGGTGCTGGGTGGGGTGGGTGTTTTTGATGAGAATGGAGGCCGTGACACAACTTCCAGACAAACTGCTCCGAAGTTCAGGAAGCCCTTGCTCTCTAGAGGTGCCTTAACTGGGGCCTGGGGGCCTGTGGAAGCCTGACAGTGGTCACTGGGTGCTAGGAGTTCCTGGGTGGCGAGAACGGTTAACACACTTGGCTGCTAACTGAAAGGTTGAAGTTTGAGTCCACGTAGAGGCACCTGGGAAGAAAGGCCTGGCAATCTACTTCCAAATAATCAGCCATTAAAAACGCTGTGGAGTGTAGTTCTGCTCCGACACACGTGGGGTTGCCATGTGGGGTTGACAACACTAGCTACTGGTGAAGTCGTCCTCCTGCCCCCTCCCTTCCCTTCTTCCTCCCCCTCCCCCTCCAGAGGACCCCCTCCTCAAGGTCAGTGACTCACTCAGCCAGTTCCTTAGAAAGGAGCTCTTTAAGGTAACTCCCTAATCACCTCCTAAAGTGTCAATAGCAGATTAGATTGAACTGCTACAGTTTGCATTTTAATTGGGGGTGGGGGCGGGAGGAGGCAGCGGGAACTGAGGTTTCACTGGCTAACAGGTATAGTGTGCCAGGGGAGGCCTTACAGACATTGCAACTCAGGCCGAAAGAGCAGCCGCAGGCCACAGGCTGACTCCCCACATGCACCAGGCGACTGTCCACTGCCCTCTAGGCAGGGCCGATTAACTGAGGAGGTGGTTAATCAAAGGAAGAGGAAGACCCCGAGACTGATCCTCAGAGACCTCCTGAAAAGGGCCTGAGGCTTGGGCCGTGACCTGTGACTCTGAGCAATGGCTGCACCCAGGGTCTGTCCTTGTGGACATCTGATTTCTGGGAGAGGGGAACAGGCAAGGAGAGAGGGACAGGGCCTGGGGAGGAGACCGGTCACCTAGGAGGAGACAAAGGGCAGGGGCAGGGCGAGGAGGGCAAAAAGAATATCCTTGTGGGCATTTACAGCCTCTCAGGGAAGTTGTGTGAGCCACTTCTCAGGCCACAAGTTGGGACGCCCTCAGGCTGGTGGTGGACTCTGTCCGTGCAGGGGTGTGTGTGTGTACACGCACATGTGCACACTAGGCAGGAGGGATGAGAGTAGGCAGTGCGGGGAACTAGGGAGAAGCTGGGCCGCGTGGTGGAGATAGAAGTCCAGAAGAGACCACCCAGGCTGTGCTCGGGAAGAGGCCAGTGGGTGTCTGAGACCCGACGCGCTGCTAGAAATTGATGCTCTTCAAGTTCACAGAGCAGCGGTACCTGCCATCCAAGAACCTAGAGCAGAGCAGGTTGGGCAAGCAGGGACAGGTGTGGTACTGGCGTTTTCGGAAGAAGGGGACCTGGGGAGAGAAGAGAACAGGGACATCACCGTCACCTCACCTCCTGACAGGAGCCTCTGTCAGCTCAGCCCCTGGCAAGTGCTCCTCCCTACTACTTCCCTGCTCCTCCCCACCCAGCACAACAATAATAGTGATTATAGATGAAGAAACTGAGGCACAGTGTGGCTAAGCAGTGTGCCAAGATCACACCACCAGTTTGTAGAAGAGCCAGGATTTGAACCTAGGCAATCTGACTCTCGAGACTGTGAGCTCAGCCACAACATTCTCAGCCACCAGCCCGAAACTCCACAACCCCCACACTGCCCACCTGGGCCCCCTTGCTGGCTCAGCACACATGTGCACACACACAGACACACACACATACGCTCATGGATTGAATGTCACTTCTTGCACATTGTTATGGATTGGATCATGTCCCCTCAAAAGATACGTTCAAGTTCAATGCCTGGTACTTGTCAACATGACCTTACTTGGAAATACGGTATTTGTAGTTGTTATCAGTTAGGTTAACATGAGGTTAAGAGTAGGGTGGGTCCTAATCCAATCTGAGTGATGTCCTTATAAAAAGGGAGAAGTGACACGGAGCAAGGACATCCATGTGAAGAGACGTCTACAAGTCAAGAAACAGCAAGGGCAAAACACCGGGAGCCACTAGAAACTAATAGGAAGAAACAAGGAAGGCTCTTCGCTAGAGCAAACACAGAGCATGGCCCTGCCAAGGCCCTGAATTCAGGCTTCTAGTCTCCAGAACTGTGAGAAAATAAATATCTGTTCTTTGACGCCACCAAAATAAAATAAAATAAAAATAAACCCATTGCTGTGGAGTCAATTCTGACTCATAGCAACCCCATGGGTTAGAGTAGAACTGCTCCATTCAGTTTTCTTGGCTGTGATCTTTATAGAAGCAGATATCCAGGTTTTTCTCCCAGGGTGCCTCGGTGGGTTCGAACCGCCAACCTTTAGGTTAGTAGTTGAGTGCAAACTGTTTTCACCACCCAGGTTCTTTATGAAGCTACCTGCTTAGTGGTATCAAAGCCCAGGTCTGCCACTTTCCAGCTGTGTGGCAATTGGCAAATTATTTAGCCTCTCTGTGCCTCAACATTATTATCTGTAAAATGGGTTAATAATAGCACCTACCACATATGGTTGTAAAGAGGTTTAAATTATATAATTCATAAATAGCATTTGTTAGCACAGAGTAGGCATTAACTTTTATTACAACTGTTGTCTTGACTGGGAATATAGAACAAGGTCTACTCTTGCCTCCCTGGAGGCTGTGATTTGGAGGGCAATGGCTGGAGGATGCTCTGAGCTCATATTAAACCAGGGCTACTGAATCTCAGGATTCAGGTTCAAGGATTCCTGAACCAAAGAGCCCAGGGAAGGTGACTGGCAGGCCTGGGCCCCTCCCCAGCCCCTGCCCGGGCCCGCGCCTGACCATTCATAAGCCAAGGCCCTGTGAGCCACACTTCATCCTCAGGGCTGGGAGATGGTTGTCAGGGGATAGGAGCAGGGGCAGGGTAGGATGAGGCAAGCAAGGTCCCTAGGACACAAAAGAGTGGGTGCCCTCGGCACCTCGCTTGCCTCACCCTGTCCTGGCCCAAATTGGGAGGCCATTTTCTGAGTCTCATTTCCTGTTCCTGACAAGAAACTCCCACAGAGCAAAGGATGTTTCAAAATCTGAGTTTGTCAGGTCCAAAAGAGACCTTGAGGTAATCGGTCTACTCCCTGCGTTGTATATATGAGGAGGCTGAGGCCCAGAGCAGTTGTGCTAATTGCCCAAGATCACACAGCAAAGGAAAGGCTGAGCAGGCATAGTCCCCAGGTCTAACAGCCTATATGATTGGTACTCCCAGCCCCCAAGCTGTTCCCCAAAAAGCCAGGAGGCAGTGTCCCAGCATCAAATGAGATATTACTAGACTTGGAGTCAGGAAACCGCCCCAGCTTTGTCTCATTTGCTGTGTGCCTTGAGTAAGTCACATGACCCAGCAGTACCTCAGTTTCCTCCCCTGGAAGATGGGGACCTGATACCAACTGCCCAGGGTTGATGTGAAGATCAAATTAGATCAGGGGTTCTCCAGACTGCATTAGAAACTTGTACATGGAAAATGTCAGATCCTGTACAAATATAAAACCAAACCAAACCAGTTGCCATAGAGTCGATTCCAACTCATGGTGACCCCATGTGTGTCAGAGAAGAACCATGCTCCATAGGGTTTTCCGCGGCTGATTTTTCAGAAGCAATCACCAGAACTTTCTTCCAAGGCAACTGTGGGTGGATTCAAACCGCCAGCCTTTCGGTTAGCAGGAGAGCAGGTTAACCGTATGCACCAGCCAGGGACTCCATACAAATGTAAGTGGTAATGTGTTATCCGAACGGCACCAAGTAAGGTGGGTGCTTGGAGGTGGCAGGTACAGCAACAGCACCTCTGGGGCTGCCTCCTTCCCTCAGACAGTCAGGGGCCCTCCCTGGCACCCTCCTTCGGAGCCACAGCCTCCCTGGGCCCGGCTGGAGCAAGAGATGAGCCTCCCATGGGCCCGGGCCCTGCGCCGTCTGCTCAGCTCAAGTCTGGAGCTCACGCTGTGCGCGCCCACCTCCGTGCGGTACCTTGTGGCTGGCGGGGTGGCACTGCTCTCCTTCCCGCCCCAGTGGGGTGCATATCCGCAGCCCACGCAGCCACAGGCTGATGGCACAGCAGGTCCCTGCCCCACACTGGACATCCCGCTCACAGGCCTGCAGGAGGGAGACAGACAGAAGGGCCAGCCATTAGTGCCACCAAGAGAAACCAGGGGGAAGGGTCATCAAAAAATCTGTGTCTGGGGTGAGGAAGAAGGAGGAGGTGGGCTGCGCATTGCTCTGTGCATTGCTGCCCTGCTCCCCACCAGAGGACGCTCAGGGCTCACCAGGACATCACACTTGGATCTGAGGAGCCCTCCAAGCTCCTTTGAGGCCACTCTGTGGGGAAGCTGTCCTTCTCTCACAAGGTTAGAAGTTAAGACTCACAGCTTTTTTGGGTCTGTAACCCCAGCACTTGGCCAGGGTCTGGCACACAATAGATGCTCAGTGGATGCTGGTTAAACTGAATTAATTAGAATCCTTACAGAGGGAAGTGGGACCTGAGTCCCTGGGTGGTCAGTGCTGAGATGCCTTGGACCCAGACGTTCTTACCCTGAGCCAGCACTCCTGGTTGGTGCCCCCTCCCCAATGACCAGTGTCTTCCCCCATGCTTCTCTGCTGCCCTCCCTGATCCCCAGGTAGGAAGGGACCCCTCTGGGTTGAACTCACAGAACAGGGGCTGGGTGACCCTGCCCAGTTTCTGGAAGTGCCATTTGTAAAGAAGGCCACACAAACCCTCTTTAAACAAAAGCCTGGACTGGGGCAAACAGAACTCTGAACTGCTCCAGACCCAAAGGGGACACAAGGGAGACACATTCAAACGTTCTACTTCCAGAAAAGTTTTGCAGCTCTTCTGAGCTAGAATTTGACACTGAGTTTTGGTGAGCTCTTCCCTAGTAGAAGGCCGAGGAGTACCCTCTGGCTGCCTGTGTGGGACATGGCAGCAGCTGAAGCTCCCTACTCGCTCAGCCCCAGGAAGGTAAGTCAGGGAGGTCGGGGTAGCTTATCCCCCAGATGAGGTGCGGGTGGCAGCCACCTGGCCGTGCCAGTCGCCAGCCCAGGTGAGGGTATGTATCCCACACAAACCAGCCCCCTGAGTGCTCAAGGTTAGGGGGAAAGCATACCCCACTTGACTCTTCTCCCATAGGGGTGGGGAGTTGCTGTCCCACCATGAGAGGAGGGACCATAGTCCTGAATTAGGAGACCCTGGTAGTCCAGGTGGCGTAGTGGTTAGGAGCTATGACTGCTGACCAAAGGGTGGCAGTTCAAATCCACCAGGCACTCCCTGGAAACTCCATGGGGCAGTTCTACTCTGTCCTATAGGGTTGCTATGAGTCGGAATCGACTCGACGGCAACAGGTCGGTCGGTTTGTAGTCCAGGGAGAAGAGAGTGTGGAGATGGTGGAATCCAGGCTCTGCCTAAGAGGCGGACACAGGGCATCAGCCTGATCAGGCAGATAGACACAGGGGCTGGAGAGAGGTGGGATTCCTGCTTCCCCTCACCCTGTTCCAACCACTTATCATGTCATTCAGCCACTTCCTCTTCCCCTAGCTTTCTCTCTTGTTGCGCCTTTCAATGGGTCAACTTGAAGGGTGTACTGTGAACATGTTTTCCCAACTCTGTCCTACCTGCCTGTCCCGCTGCCACTCTGGGCAAAGGTTGGGCTCACATGGTGAGGTTAGCCTGAGCACCATGCCTGGTGTCTCTCACTGTAGGGTAACCACAGCTTTGCTCCTTTGTCCTCACCCTCCCAGATCTTCAAGCTACACAATGGGGGGACGGCCCTCCCCGGTTTACAACCAGGCGGTCTAATTCGTCCTAACAATTTATTCATGCCTTGGGTCTCAAAAGCATTGACTTGCCTTTAATATTGTTCTGAACTCAGTCTTTTTTTCTTTAAAGAAAAAGAAAGAAGTGTTCCTTTCTGAGAACACTAAAACTAATCTGATTCCAGGAATTGCTTGACATTTCTCTACATTTCCATTCTGTACATAAAAAGTTCTGTTTCGCTCTGTTGTACACACGGTCGCGATGAGTTGGAACCGACTCGACGGCACCTAACAACAACAATAACAACGTGTACAAAATTGGAGGAGGTTTCAATAAAAGTTCATTCCCCTCCCCTCCCCCCCCCCCCTTTTTTTAGTAGATTTTATCTGGGAAGATCTCAGGTAAAACATTACTTACTGTTTTAATGAGAACAGTTCCCCCTGGTAACACAATGTGTGCCCCAGCTGAGGGTGGTTCCAGGTAAAGCAAAACATCTGGGAGAAAACCCAAATCCAAGGGCTTTGAACACTGTAATTAATGCATTGTGCTCATGTGTGCAGAACATCTGATTTGAGATTGAATTTCTGCTTATTATCTGGATGCTTGTTTTTGGGTATACTCTGCCACAATTTGATGTCTCTCATATTCCTATCGGAACTGAGCACGGGGGTAAGAACACATGAACAGCAAAGGAAAGGAGTTCCAAAGCTTCCTTTCTTAAGAGCAGAGAAAGCGGAGGTTAAATTTATACAATAGATGCTAATGAGCTTAAAACCAAAACCAAACCCACTGCCACTGAGTTGATTCCCACTCATAGCAACCCTATAGAACAGAGTAGAACTGCCCCATAGGTTTTCCAAGGCGGTAATCTTTACGGAAGCAGACTGCCACATCTTCCTTCCACAGAGCGGCTGAGGGGTTCGAACTGCCGACCTTTTGGTTAGCAGATGAGGGCTTAACCACTGCACCACCAAAGCTCATTAGGAGGTGCTGATTCACTTTAGAAAGGAATTCCTTATTACACAACAGAAATCTTCATTTTACCAAAGGACTGAAATCCATATTTTTCAATGCTCTCCTAATGCATTTAAAACAGGATTTGATTTACACATAGTTCTCCAGAGCAGATGCTATTTAGTAGAGTGAGGTCCAGCTAACCTGAAGATCCTGTGAAATCACTGTCTCTGAAGTGCTGTCTGATGGCTAACTTCCTCAGTCCCTTTGTGGGTTTGTGGTGTGTCCAGCCAACAAAGCTGTCCACTTCATCCCTGTGTTCACGTCCCATGCAATCCCTGACATCTTCCCAAAACCCAGGGCTTAGAGAACGTTAGCTGACTTACCCCCGTAATGATGGCACAGTCAGAAAAAGTTATAAGGAGGAGCATGATTGAGACGTGCACAGCCGTCCTCATGGTCACTTGGATGAAGGCAAACACTGTCCGCTCAGATGCTTCTGGCTGCCTCCGGCTCGCTCAGCCTCGTGCCTGTCAAGCTGGAAGGTCAGGTGCTCCTGCCCCTCCCCCGCTCCCAAATTGATATGGTTGATCCAGGACTGCTCTTCCCTTCCCCATCGCCGATGCTACTCACATGAGCTCAGAGACCAAGATGAGACCTGAATCTCTAATGGCATCAAATCACCATCAAAACCAGTAAAAATGAATACATCATGGGCTTTGACATTTGCTCTAAGTCTCCCAAGAATGCAGTGATTCAGCCGCATTCTGTACGTTTCTCTCCATACTCTTCTCTGCCTCTGGGGCATCCTTCTCTCCTGCTTGGGATGGGGCAGTGGGGCGGCGGAGGGGGGGGAGTTTGATAATGAATTAAGGGATTTACAACATGGTCCTTTATTCTTCCCTGCATCAAACAAACCAGGCAACATGCCGGATGATTGGTTCCAACCGCCTCAAACCAACAGGGATTATCTGGGCACTCACCGTAGGCTCCACTCAGGGTAGGGCTCAGGGGACACCATGGGTAAGACAGTCCCTGTGGCTGGGAAGCTAAAATTCCAGTGGGAGACATAAGAGTGAGAAAGCAAGGCAGGCTTCATGGGGTTTATGTTCCTGGATGGTACAGATAAGGATTGTTCTGTAACGGGCTCAGGACAAACACCGAAAAGTGTCACCTGGTACAGGAACCAAAGGGCAGAAGACCAGCAAGCACTGGGTCTGCGTTCTCTCAGCATCCTGCAGAGAAGTGAGCTCAGGCTGGGGCACAGCTAAAGGTGCCAGGGGCCTCCTGCTGCTTTCTTTCTTTATGGAGTGAGCATAAGACAGCCTTCATCTATGAACCGACAAGCCGTGGGCTCAGAGGCCAGTCTTGTGGGAAGATGAATTTGGGCATAGTGCCTCCTGCTGGGTGGGGAAGCCCCTGGTCCCAGCCCTCTTGATAGGAGACTGTGTAGTGAAGATTGTGTGTGTGGTTTTTTTTTTTTTTTTTTGGGTGCATTGAGTCAATTCCCACTCATAACGACCCCATGTGACCCCATGTGACAGAGTAGAACTGCCCCATAGGGTTTTCTAGGCTATAATCTTTACGGGAGCAGATCATCGGGTCTTTTTTCACATGGAGCCGCTGTATAGGTTCAAACCGCCAACCTTTCAGTTAGAAGCCAAGCACTCAACCATTGTGCCACCAGGGCTCCTTAGGGAAGAATTAGCTTTACCCAAAGAGGGGTGGGGCCTTTTGCCCTCGGCTACTAGGAGGTGTCTCTAGACCCTTTGCTTGCCTAGGGGTTTTGGCCTCCAGACAGTCTAGCGATGAGATTTATGATGAGGACTTTGGGTCACATGGTATCAGTTCTGTCTCCAGAAAGGACTGGAGACTAAAGGGAGTAGCCCAGTTTCCTGAGAAGTGAAAGGTCAGTCATGCAGGCAGGATGTGATGGAGCTCCAATAAAATCTCTGAACACCAAGGCTCAGGCAAGCTTCCCTGGTTGACAGTACTCTGTGCATATTGTCACACATTGTGGGGATATACGCCATTTAAAGATGGCTGCACTATTGACAACTGCAGCCCCCACAGGCCTCTATGCTGCACAGCATGTTGAGACTTGTCCCCAACATGTTGAGACTTGTCTCCAACATGTTGAGACTTGTCACGATTTGTTTTCCCAAACCTATTGTCCCTTTACTGATTGGCTTGTTTACCTGAACTCCTTCTCCCTTGCCTACACCCAAAGCCCATTGTTTTGTTAATTGCTTTATTGCTTGCTGTATTGACTATAAAATAAACTCCTGGGACTGAAGCGGGTCGACTCCTCAGAGTGACCCTCCTGGCCCCACTTCTCTGTAAGAGTTGTGGCATGGTTACTGTCTCCACCGCTAGCTGGGACAACACATGGTGGCCAGGAGGGGATGATGCTGTCCATGACCCCAGGGGACAGGACGACTGTAAGTTTCATGTTTGGGCCCCTCCCAGACTCTGTTCCATGTGTCTCTTCCCTTGGCTGATTTTAATCTTTGCCTTTTCCCTGCAATAAACTGTAGCTATAACAGCTTTCGGTGAGTTCTGTTCTGTGAGTCCTTCTGGTGAACTACCCTCAAACCTGAGGGTAGTCTGGAAATGCTGGTGGTGTAGTGGTTAAGAGTTAGGCTGCTAACCAAAAGGTCGGCAGTTCGAATCCACCAGGCGCTCCTTGGAAACCCTATGAGGCAGTTGTACTCTGTCCTGTAGAATTGCTATGAGTTGGAATCAATTTGAAGGCAACAGGTTTGGGGTTTTTTTGGTTTTGAGGGTGGTTTGGGGAACTCATCCTCACACTTGGAATTGGTGTCATAATGAGGGTGATCTTATGTGGACAATGCACACTCTCTAAACTTCAAAGTTGGGTTAACTCTCACATAGATAACCCAGAGACAGGTCCCAGGACCTTGAACAGACAACCCAACTTCTCTCCACAATAAAAGCCAAGATTTCCTAAGGCATGTTTTGCAATGTGTTAACAAGTTTTACATACTACTGTAGGACTTTTCAGAGCCTTTCTTAAGCTAATACAGGTAGTCCCCAACTTATGACATATCCAAGATATGACAAACTGTTTCTTGGAGGTTTTGTGGGTTTTTTTTTTTTTTTTTAATATCTTATCATTAGTAACGGAGCCCTGGTGGCGCATTGGTTAAGAGCTTTGTTGCTAATCAAGAGGTCGACAGTTCAAATCTACCCTCCGCTCCTTGGAATCCCTATGGGACAGTTCTACTCTGTCCTGTAGGGTCACTGTGAGTCGGCATTGACTCAACTTTTGTTTGTTTGGTTTTTTTTTAATCATTAGTAATATGTACTACCTACATTGCTGCAGCATGTAATATGCTGATGTTATCATTCTTATGCCAACCCCCAAAGACAAATAAAGATCAGATTTATAAAGATATTGATAATAAAACTCAATAATAATGAAAACTAAAAGAAAAAAAATAAGGTATTCAACTTATGTCAGAACCAACTTAGGACAGAGTTGTTGGAATGGAACCCTGTCGTAAGTCGGGGACTACTTACAACTGTTTGAATCACCAAAAGGAAAATGCAATTTGTAATATTTCCCAAACATATTCGTCCACAACATCCTCCCCCAACCACTCTTCAGTGTCTCATGGGACTAGGGTTCTGACATAAAAATGTTTACAGGCATTTATAAATGCAGAGAGAAAGATAAACTAGCACAATAGCTAAGAGCTAGCCCCCCAAAGCCAGGCATTTTGACTTCTCATCCCAGATTGCTCACTAGCTTCATGCCCTTGAGAATATTGTATAACCCCTCTATGCCTCAGTTTCCTCATCTATAAAATCGGGGCAATAATACTACTTACATCTTGGGATTCTATGAGTGCTCATTCATTTATTCACTGAATTATTGAGAGCCTATTGTATTGAAGGCACTGTTCTTGGTGCTGGGACAATAACCAAAACACCAAATCCATTGCTGTCAAGTCGATGCTGACTCATAACAACCCTATAGGACAGAGTAGAACTGTCCCATAGCGTTTTCAAGGAGCAGCTGGTGGATTTAAACTGCAGACCTTTTGGTTTGCAGCCCGGCTGTTAACCACTGAGCCACCAGGACCCTGGTGGGACAATAGCAGTGAATAAAATAAGGTCTCTGCCCTCATGTAACTTAGATTCTAGTGGAAGAGAATGACATTAGACAAATAAACAGATTTATAACGAAATGGTAAGTACGCTAAGTGCTATTAAAAAAAGAAAGCAGGAAAGGCAACAGAGCATGACAACAGGTGGTATTTTAAATGGTGAGGATCTCCGAGGAGATGGCAGTTGAGCAGAAAACTGATGAACTAAAGGAGTGAGCCATACTGAGCCCTGTGGGAAGAGCCAGTGCAAAAGCCCTGTGGCAGGGCCTTCTTGGCTGGTTCTAAGAGCAGCAAGGAGCGCAGTGAGTCGGGGAAGGGAGGAGAGGGAATACAGTTAGAGCAGGCACTGGGGCCATGCCATGCAGGCCTTGTAGGACCTGCTAAGGATATGACACTAAGTGAGATGGGAGCTCTTGGAAGGTTTTAAATAGGGGAGCTGTGATCGTTAAGGTCACGTGTCAGCTTGACTGGGCTGTGATTCTTAGTGATTTAGCAGTTATGATGTAGGTTGGCAGTCATGTGATGATGTGATCACGTCTATGATGAGATTTGATATAACGTGATTACCTCCATGATGGGATCTGCGGTGAGTAGCCAATCAGTCGAAAGGGAGTTTCTTTGGTGGTGTGGCCTGCATTAAATACAAGTGGACCCTCTGGTAAGGCTCGAGGACTTACGCTTGCTCTGGATCCTGCAGCTGGCTCCTGTTCATCTGACCTCCAGTTCTCGGGACTTGAGCTAGCAGCTTACCTGGGTCTTGCCTGCCGATCTTGGGATTTGTGGGCCTTCAAAGCCTGTGAGCAAGAGCCCTCTTGTCTGATCAGTCAATCTTGGGTTTGCCAGCCCCTGCAGCTACATGAATCAGGAGAAGCTTTCAGCCTTGCCCACAGATTTGGGACTTTCCAGCCTCTACAAGTTCGTGAGCCATTTATTTGACATAAATCTCTATGTATAGATATTTATACGCTTTATTGGTTTTGCTTCTCTAGAGAACCCAGGAGGGCTGGGATCTGATTTACATTTTTAAAGGATTCCTCTGACTTCAAATGGAGAATTCAGTAGAAGGATGCAGGCAAAGTGCTTAGCACAATGCCTGGCAAGTGGCAGCGTTTGATAACTTCTGGCAATTTTTACCATAAAAAGATGGGCATTTCTGCCTTTGTATAATACTGTCCTAAGAGGTGAGAATCAAAATATTGAGCTTGTAAGTTTCACCGGTTTCCTGTGACACGCAGCCAGGTGTGACAGAAGAACCAAGAAACCACCCAGCTTGTTAGGAACTTACCCTGAAGAAGAAAAGACCAGTTAGGTTGAGTTGACTATGA